GATTGCAATTACTGTCTACAAAAATTAAAAATTCTTTAAAATTTTAAACGACCACAAGAAATCAATCACGGAGCTGCTAAATGATGCAAAGAAAAATAGCATAAGACTGATTGGAGTCAATGAAGAAATAGGGTAGAGTGCAGATGACGTAAAAAACCTGTTTACACAAGTGATGGCAGAAAACTTCCCAAACAGTGCAAAAGAATTTGAAATACTGATAAGTGAGGCATATAGGACTCAAACTAGACTTGATCAAAAAAAATCTACACATAGGCATATAATTATTAAGATTCCAGAAACCCAACAGAAGAACAAAATTCTACAAGTAGTTAGAGAAAAGAAACAAATCGCATACAAAGGAAAGCCCATCAGAATCACAGCAGACTTCTCAATGCAAACCCTCAAGGCAAGAAAAGCTTGGAGTGATGTGCTTCAAGCCCTAAAGGAAAACAACCTCCAATCCATATTGATGTACCCTGCAAAACTATCTTTCAAAATTGATGGAGAAATAAGATACTTTCATGACAAAGAGCACCTTAGGAATTTCATAAATACCAAACCAGCACTCAAAAAAATTTTAGACAAAATCCTAGGAAAAGACAAAGAGGATCACAACCCCAGGAAGCCCAGCAGAATGAATCCGCTGGGCACGACAAGAAATTCAAAGCAAAGGGAGAGGATCAAACAAAAAAAAAGTCATGAACATGATAACTCAATACATATCAGTTATAAGCATCAATGTTAATGGTCTCAATTCACCAATCAAAAGAAATAGATTGGCAGAATGGGTCAAGAAGCAAGATTCACAATATGCTGCATACAAGAAACACACTTAACTCAAGAAGAACTCATGGACTGAAAGTTAAAGGGTGGAAAACAATACTCCATACAACGGGAACCCAAAAAACAGCAGAAGCAGCTATCCTCTTTGCAGACCAAGTGGATTTCAAACCCACACTGATTAAGAGAAACAAAGGACACTATATCTTTGTAAAGGGAACAATCTAAGAGATGACAAACATAAATATCTATGCACCAAACACTAGTGCACCCAACTATATAAAACAAATACTAATGGACATTAAAAACCATATAAGCACTAATACAATAGTAATGGGGGACCTCAATACCCCATTGTCACAAATAGATAGATCAACTAGACAAAATATGAGCAATGAAATGCTAGAACTCAATCAAACTCTTGAACATGTGAACTTAACATATGTTTACAGAGTGTTTCACCACACAAAATCAGAATAAACATTCTTTTCATCTGCACATGGGTCATTCTCCCAAATAGACCATATACTCGCTCATAGAACAGACTTAGGTGTAAAGGAATTGAAGTTATCCCCTGTATATTATCAGACCATAGTGCTAAGAAATTGGAGATCAACAGCAAAAACAACTGCAAAAACATCATAAACACATGGAAATTGAACAACACACTTCTGAATAACCAATGGGTCACAGAGGAAATTAAAGAAGAAATCAGACAGATCTTTCAATTAAGACATTGACAGTACAACATATAGCAATCTCTGGGACACAATGAAAGCAGTCTTAAGAGGGAAATTCATAGCAGTGAATACGTGTATTAGGAAAACAGAACAAGCCCAATTAAACAATCTGATGCTGAACCTCAAGCTTCTAGAAAGAGAAGAGCAGGACAAACCCAAAGCTCATACAAGGGAGGAAATTACAAAGATCAGGGCAGAAATCAATTCAATGGAGACTAAGAAAACAATACAAAAAATCAATGAAGCAAGAGTTGGTTCTTTGAAAGAATCAACAAAATTGACAAACCCTTAGCCAACCTTATCAGGAAAAGGAAAGAAAAGGCCCAAATCCATGTAATTAGGAATGAAAAGGGTGAAATTATGAAAGACCCAGCAGAAATCCAAAGAATGAATACATACTTCCAGAACCTATATGCCAATAAGATGGACAACACAGAAGAAATGGACAGATTCCTAGACATGTATGAATTAGCCAAGTTGAATGAAGAAGACCTAAAAATTCTAAACAACCCAATATCAACCAATGAAATTAAAAACGTAATTGAAAACTTACCAACCAAGAAAAGCCCAGGTTGTGATGGCTTCACTGCTGAATTCTACAAGACATTTAGAGAGGAACTACTGCCACTACTGTTTAAACTCTTCAACGAAGGTGAAAGGGAAGCAATACTCCTGAAATCATTCCTGGAAGCAAACATCACCTTGATCCCCAAAGCAGAGAAAGACCTAACTGAAAAAGAGAACTGTAGGCCAATCTCTTGACTGAACATAAAAAATCCTTAATAAGATACTGGCAAACAGAATGCAGAAAATCATCAAAAAAATCATACACCCTGACCAAGAGGGATTCATCCCAGGGATCCAGGGATGGTTCAACATACGCAAATCAATCAATGTAATACAATATATCAATAGAGCCAGGGACAAAAACCATAAGATCATCTCAATAGATGCAGAAAAAGTATTTGACAAAATTCAACACACATTTATGTTAAAAACCCTATCAAAAATCAGAATGGACAGTCTCTACCTCAATCTGATAAAAGCAATCTATGGAAAACCAACAGCCAATATCATACTAAATGGTCAAAAACTGAAATCCTTCACTCTAAAATCAGGAACAAGACAAGGATTTCCATTATCACTATTCCTGTTCAATATAGTTTTGAAAACATTAGCCATGGCAATTAGATAAGAGAAAAAAATAAAAGGAATAAAGATAGGAAATGAAGAAGTCAAATTGTCATTATTTGCAGATGACATGACACTGTACATAGAAGACCCCAAGAACTCCACCAAAAGTCTTCTAGACTTAATAACCCAATTCAGTAAAGTAGCTGGATACAAGGTCAACACACAAAAATCATTAGCTTTCCTCTACATGATCAACAGACTCAATGAGACAGAAATAGGGCAAACAATTCTTTTCACAATAGCATTCAAAAAAACTGAAATACCTAGGAATCAACCAAACAAAAGAAATCAAAGACCTCTTCTCTGAAAACTATAGCACTTTGAAAAAAGAAATTGAAGGGGATATCAGAAAATGGAAAGACATCCCTTGCTCCTGGGTAGGAAGAATCAACATAGTGAAAATGGCTATACTTCCAAAATTGCTATGTATATTCAATTCAATCCCAATTGACATCCTAGCAGTACACTTCATGGACCTTGAGAAAACAATCCAAAAATTCATTTGGAGCAAAAAGAGACCCATAATAGCAAAGCAATTCTAGGTAACAGAGACATTGCAGGGGGTATCACAATCCACAACCTGCAACTATACTACAAAGATATTGTGATTAAAAGCAGCATGGTACT